ACATAGATGGTGCATCATACAACTAGTATATTTAATTTTCATACCCGTTTGCACGGCTTTTCTACAATATGCGTTAGGTACAGTACAATCTTGTATATAACTACCCAGTGCATTAGCATCACCGCAATCTCTATGTTCATTTGAATTACACACATAACATTGCAAATTCTCATCAGATTTTACAGATGACACTAAACAAAAGAATAATAATATATGCATCTCATATGTGTCATGCCAGTAAGACAATATTATGCTCTCTATTTGAAGTCTATCAAAGGATTAAATTGAAATTCTCAATGAAAAACTTGAAACTGATCATTGGATTATGTAGCTTGTAAAGAAACCATCGAACTATCTTTATAATGTGTAAAACAATTAGATCTGACGAAACACATCATGCTAATTCATTTATATTCTTCTAAAGGAAAAGTAATCCTATGGTAGGTAAATCATATTCAACTCGCATCGTATCAGAGTGAGCAGAATCTAGTCCATAGTTATTAGGTTAAAACTGATGGGTACATAGTTCATTCTTTGACAAAATAAAATAAAACTGAGCTTGAAATAAGAGCGTAATAAGAGTTGTGTACTAATTTCAGATTTGTTACTTACATAACAAACATTGAACGACAATAATAACCGTTAAAAATCCGTACAGATACATGTTTTCTTCTTCTTAATATGGTCAAATTATTTATAAATCTAAAACACATAAGAGTACATATTATCTTATATTATCCTAATAATAAAATATGTGCGTGTATATCTAACAAAAAAACTAAATTTCAACACGTTGAAAGCGAAGACAGACAAGGAAAAAAATCACTGTAACATCAATGGTTGACTTTCTTGTCCTATTTCTTGTAAGATTCTTTTCTCTCGGCATTTTAACTAAGAATTTTGTAAACGAAAAAATGCATACATGGCCCATATTAGGTTTCTTTCTCTCTCGTATACATATAAATGAATAAAAGAGGGAACGTACTCCCAGACGCTGTGAGCGTAAATGGATTTGGTATATAAAAGACATGATTTATCTCTCCATAAGAATATTGTAAGATTTAAAAGAGTTTCTGCGCACATCTATGTACAATATTGTAAGGTATATAAAGTACAGGAGTCGACAAAACAAATTGATGCCTTTAACCTCAACAAATCTATGGCCATTTTAGACAACACATGACTTTTGTGAAAAAGATGAAACATGAATAAAAAAATGAACACCAGAGTCTTACCTGATCTGTTAAGACAAATGTAAAGATTGTTGTTCCGTATAACAAGATGAAAGAAACTCGCAAGAACATTGACAAGACGATGGATCAGTGATAGATGTCTCAAGCAAGAATATTAAGAAAAAAAAAGAAGATTAATATAATGTATAGTCTATCGGTTCCGTTTTGTTTATGAAAAAGGAAAATTGATAACAACAACCGAACGATTCTATTGAAGGTCACAAGAGAACGAAATGAATGCGTATGAAGAAGATGCATTTGTGTCTAGTAAGAGTAGTAGTATCATCTAACATAGTTAAACATAGAAATATCCACAGAAAATAAAAAGATCAAAATCCACTTCAATCCGATATCTTTAATATTTAAAGCTAGTCTAATGTAGAGATGTGCACGGGCACCATTTTCCTACTCGTACACAATCCGAAAACTTCTTGTCATTCGTATAATATGCCTAAAAATTTTTTATTTTCTGGTTTCCAGCTAAAAACTTTTGTTTTTCGACTGGAGATGTCAAACTATCATTACGTTCACAAGTAACACTTCTAAAATTTAATGTTAACTCAACCTTCAGGTCGGACCCAGCACGAGTATGGGTCGGGTTGCACATCTCTAGTCTAATGCACTAGTGTCTACTATAGAAAATGTAAAATTAATCTACTAATGTAAATAATTCTAAAACTATCTACTAATGTAAAAATCTTGTTAAAGTTCAATAAGATTAATTAGTGCTCATCAATTTCCAGAGAGCTCCTATCAAATGTCCCGAATTATCCCAAATGGGATAATTCAGGTACGCACAAAATCCTGTGAAGATTAGAGATGCTGTCCTGAATTACCCCAACCTACTCTACCATCGCCGGCAATCAACTTCTTGAAAGTTTGAAAAACGACGACAAAATCATCGGTTAATATCTCTATTAGTATAAATGAAGAAAAAGACGAATATTGTTTGAGAAGAAATACCGTTTATGAGCGAGCGACTGATTTTATGATACATTTTGAAAAATATAGATCTATGATACTTTGCATTTAACAGGAAGCTCTGGAAGAGAAAGCTATGTAAGAAGAGAAACAGAAGAATCACCATAATTAGATTGATGAGAAGCAACACGGGCAGCAAGTTCCTTTACCGACAAGAATTAGGGCTACCAATGGATTCCATAGTGTAGGATGAACATTTAAAAATAGTGATGAGATGGCATAGACAACTTTTGGAAAGCGGTCGAATGGGATAATTTTTTGTCCTATCTCATCCAATTAGTTCTTCTGATAAGGATCAAGAGTATAAAGAGGGAAAATAACTGTCATACAATGCACAGTAATAATCCAGTCTATCAACATAGGGCTTGAATTGAAAAGAGAACGCAGGTTGCATAGAACGGAGAACAGTTTGATAATTAGGTCAAAAGTTGTAATTAAAAAAGAACGAAATAAAAAGAATCAAAGACAGCACGGTTTTATCACCGGAAAGGGAATGCATCAATTAAGTGATTAGTAACAAAGTTATTCTCACAATATTCTTAAAGCCTCTACCAGTGATTCATAGAAATCCGATTATCATGCAAAACCATATATATTTGTATCTGAGTAACCCTGAGTATTAACAAAAGTAGTAATTTGTGTTCATCAAAATAACAGAGCAAGACTTGTTTTTTTGGTTCCTTTCCTGTTTTTTTCCAGTTGGTAAACCATCATTTGGTAATTTGCGCATGGTATATAGAATTTTGATACCAACCAAATGTTTGCACATAGACTCTTAACAGAAATATCGACAGGACAATACACGTTTTGCACAGACACAATATGTGCACTTTCATACCATAGACGAGATGGTGTATTTGATAGATACTTATCTAATGTACTAAGGGAGCATGTCAAAATGTATTCCGGTCGGTCGGTCGTTATTCCTCTATTCCTCTATTTCTTCAAAGGCAACTGACCGCTATGTTTCACTTACATCATTATAGGAGCAGGCATTTTTCTGTGTTTCTGTTTAAAGAATAAAATCAGAAAGGAGCAAATTTTATATTTTCATGAAATGTTCATCTTTATATCCTCTATAAGAGGGAGTGCTCACTTTAAACTTATTTTGTATTGTACCAACTTTGCTAACTAAAATTTTACTGATTAGAAAAGATCCATTCCCCTTTTCTTATACTAGTTTAAAGTACAGGAGCTGTACATGATACTGATCTATTTTTTAGAAAGGGACGTAATGTAGTCTTTTAGAAATATGGCTGTGAGTATCGTAGGTTATCGTCTGAGCAAGCAAGTTTCGAGAGAGACAAAAGAACTCTCTGCAAGTCGCGTAAGGAAAAACGTGCTTTTTCAAACGATAATCAACGATATTCACAGCCATATTTCTCAACAACTAAAAAGGGCCCTTTTCTAAAAAATAGATCAGTATCGTGTACAACTCGTGCGCTTGAAACTACTATAAAAAAGGGGAATGTATCTTCTTTAATTAGTGTAATTTTAGTTGGAAAAGTTGGCACAATATGAAGTCGGTTTACACTGAGCACTCTTTGTTGCATAAACGTGATTATAAGATCGAAAAATCGAAAAAGCATATTTTTGTTAATGGGTTTTCCAGAAAACCTTAGAGTTCTGTAAAATCTCTTTCTAGGTATCCTGTGAATAGGATATAGAACAGCCTAAATACTTTACATTCTGAAGTTTTGAACTCGTTCTGATGTATTTTGAGCGAACAGTGAATTTTTAAATATTAAGTATAGATAATACGACAAACACCACCTTATACATAATGAAGTTACAATTTCACTTGAGACGAGTTTCGTCTTTATTTAAAAGATATCATCAGTCATATGATGGCAAAAAGGTGTAAGGTGGTGTTTGTCTTATTATCTATTCTTAAATTCTTCACCTTAAAAAATGATTCAAATAAATATTAAGTGAAAACAGCCTGAAAACCCCAATTTTCGTAAAACATCTTTTTCGATAGTTTCTAAGAACTTTTTCTAAAAGCAAATATTGCCACGAGACTCAGCATGATTGATTACCCATAGTCCATTCGTTTTCAAGGCTACCAATAGTCACCAGGTGCTAGTCCTGAGACTCGTAGGAAATCCGATACAGCGCCCAAGCCGCGGAAAATCAAGGTACCGTTTGACTCCCGTCTTCAAGAGGAGATCCCGAGCTTTCAGCCCATAACAAAATCAATGCGATATTATTCGAAAATTTTTACACACGACCTGGTTTTTCAAAGATCTCCTAGAAAACCTGTTTCAGGAAACTCTTCTGAGGACTCTCTAAGCTTGTTCACCCATGCATTGTACTCAACATCATTAGGTATTCGTTTTGTACAAAAATCACTTTCATAGCATCAGTGCGTCAGTTCGAAATAAAATAGTCAGGTTTTGTACAGAGGGTCTCCAAAAAACCTCTGAAAACCCTCTCAAAAGCCATTAATATGGTATCAAATTATATGTATTCTGAAAGTAGACACTTCAGGCTATCTTTGTATGTGCTTATCTCAAAATCCGAGAATCGTCATTTCTGAGGAGGAGGGCCATTAACAGAGAATTCTGTTTTTTTCAAAATATGGCTCTAATGGATTCTTTTCTTTTTACGCATAGTGCAAGGATGATGTATACGAGGTGAATCAATAAAAAGAGTGACAACTATCAAAATACTGTTCATACCTGCATCAAAATACTTTGAGATTTGTTTCTACTTGCGCCCAAAAGCTGCAGTAGTGACATCTTTTATAACTTTTAGGTAACATTCCTTCATTTTTGGATTTCGTCTATGCTCTGCGGAGGTTTGTGAAGGAAAGGCTTCCAGATATATGATCAAAACTTGAGCGAGGTTTTTTACCTGTTTAAAGCCAATGAGTAGCTTAAACAATTTATGATAAATCATGGATAAATTATCGGAAAACTATGGATAAGCTCCAATCTGCTGTATCAGTGTATCGAATATATTTCTAGGTCTATGGCATAACATGTTCAATGGGAAATATTATAAGTTGTTGTTACTGCTGTCATAAATCATCGAACAAATATAAGTAAACATTAAGAATGAAAACATGGTTTAAATTCTTAGTTTAGCTCTGGGTCATTCATGCTATTGAAAGTTTGTTTCTTTTATTCAAATAACTTTTACGGTTATTAACCCATAATCTCTTCCATTTTCATTTTTTTGTGTACGAAGGACATAACTTTTGATATAAATCATTTTTAAGGGAGCAATGTTTATCTCAATTAATTGCACTTCGTATCATTCTTTTTTGTTTTTAGCGCAAACGATCCATCACATCTCAATAGAGGCTCACATCCAGCTTCAGAGAAGTCTCCAGCCTTTTATGATAATAAAAACCACGTATCTGAAATATATGGAAATAGTAAGAAGAGTTTTACACTTTTGTTCAAAACCATATTTGTCTGTTTCTTTTATTTTCTTGGCTCAGATGTTGAACTCGCTCCATCAGATAATCCAACAACTTCAACTTATTTCGCATCTATACTTCGTGAGTACATGGACGCATATAACTCGAGGTGTTTTTTTGTTTTTTGCCTTGTTTAGATCCGCCCAAAGAACAAAACCAGCAGTTGGATCGATCACTTAAAGTATGGCCAATATCTATCTAATCTTTCAAATAAGATGCAGTTTTATTGAAATGTATTTTACTCTCTCTCTCATGTTTTTAAGCTTCATCCAGGCTCTGGTGATTATATTCCATTTTCTTCCTCAACAAAAACGATTAGTCCAACAGCACCCAACACAGTTATTATTCAACAACAATCCCAAACAGCTAATCTCAAAGGAACATCGTCCTTTAATACAGGCCACCACCAACAACCAAATCGTTTACAAACTCAAGCTTCATCAGTCTCAATGTCTTATAAAGCAACTTCCAATGGTCACGATACTCCATCAGCCCTCGCGCCAATTTCTAATAAACACAGTAATTCTTGTTCAACAATCTATGTCGATGATTCTACCGTTTCACAGCCAAATTGGAAAGCAATGATTAAATGTGTATCATTGGCTATTCATAGTCATATATACTCGAGAAAAGGGAATAAAACAATGGACATATTTGACGAAAAGTTACATCCACTAACGGTGCGGAGAATATGCGTCACACTTTCAAAAGAAGAAATTTTATGAATTTTTCTTTTTCTTTAGAAAGATTCTGTGCCAGATGATTATGATGAAATCGTACCAGAACAAAAAGCCATTTATCGTTTTTTAAGAATTCTATTTACAGCTGCACAATTAACAGCAGAATGTGCTATTGTTACGTTGGTATGTAGTTCTTATCATTTGACTGTAAAAGTGGTAGAGAAAAAAAACACGTAGGTTATATACATGTTTGTGATATTTACTCTATCAAATGTTACTATCCGTACAAGTTAAGTTGCGATTGTGCTAGTTATCTTTTAAAATCTAGATAGCAAACAAATAATTTTTTCTCTCTCTAGGTATATCTAGAACGTGTATTGAGTTATGGTGGATTAGATTTATGTCCATCTAATTGGAAACGACTCGTTTTAGGTACACTGTGTGTATATATTCTCTTTATATCTTTGATTTTTCTTTTCTTTCTATTAATAGGTGCTGTAATGTTAGCATCAAAAGTGTGGGATGATCAAGCAGTATGGAATGTCGATTTTTGTCAAATATTAAAAGATATTACTGTGCATGAAATGTAATTATTATAAAAATAGTGATAATACTACTATATGGTCTTTGTGTTCTAGGAACGAGTTAGAACGTGAATATGTTCAATTACTACAGTTTAATGTTAACGTTGGTTCGTCCATTTATGCCAAATATTACTTTGATTTAAGACAATTGGCAAAAGAAAGCAAAATTTCATTTCCAGATGAATTATTAACAAAAGAGAAAGCAATTAAACTCGAAGTAGGTGTGAAAAATGTCATCACTTTTCTTGGAAATAATTAGCGGAAAAAAGTGAATATGGGTAGTTTTCTGTAGCGGAAGAGTAGGCTCATGTGCAAGAGAAAACCAATATATAGGTCATTGCGATACATTTAGAGTAAATATGTCATATTGGTGTTACAATAAACGCTTTTTAGAATTCTGTGCCAATATTTGTTAAAAAACAAGTCTGATCAATGTGTTTAAGACCAATATAATTCTCCTTTTAGGCAGCCTCTTTGGTGGGTAATCGTTTGAATCAAACATCATCGAATGTGTCTGGTAGTGGCGGTACCAATAATAATAGTGGTGGTAGCGGTGGTCAATTGGTATCGTTGCGTCGTTCAGCGAGCGTTGAATTTATGCAATCTCCAAGAAAAAGTTTATTAATTATATCATAGAAAACTCTCATGGATCACTAAATGTTTCTATTCCTAATTTTCTCTTTCTTTCTCTCTAGCGAATCGAATCTCTCTTGGTTATACACTACACACGTACACACATCATTTTTATTGTTGTCAGATTTTTTTCGGATACGGGAAAACAAATAATGTTTGTGCAGCACTCGATTTATCAATTATATTTCATAAGCTTTATATGTTCTGTTGTTGTTTTTTGCAACATTGATGAATGAGTGCTCTCTGTGTCTCTCTCCTTCACTCTCGTGCGCTAAACAGTTAGTATATTTATTGTTGCTTCTCTTTTTCTTTTTTTTTTGTATTTGGTGTTGGTTAAATGTGTACAGCTCGCCGTTTTTCTTTTTATTATTTCTCTGCACGATCTTGATGTATGTGTGAGTGTGAATGTGTAAATACGATTGTTTTGCTCTTGTTTTTCTACATCTATTTTGATGAAATATTTCTTGTTGTCTTGACATTCTTCTTGTTTTTTTACATGGGATACTGGATTTTATGACATATTTTTTTCTTAGTTATTTTTGTTCTTAAAGAACAATATAGAAATAAATATTACTGAACCTCTGTTTGTTTCTTACTGAATACTTACTACTATTACTACTCATCATTCTAGAATCATATTACTACTCATTATCTAGAAACATTGATCATCTCAACTGACGAAGACTTATGATATTTTAAAAAAATTTATCATTTCAGATTCTAAATGGCATCTGTTAATACAATGGCTGTTCGTCAAGCAAATCGATTAAAAAATAAATTTATTGGTAAGTCATCGTAGAATAGAACGTAGAATCGATTGTTTTCTTTAATCTTTGAACAGATACGAACGTAATCTTTAAGTATACTCTTTTATGCGAGTGCATGAATACTTTGCCATGAAGACTTATTTAAAAGATAAACATTATTCAAACTATATGTCGAACAATGTTCATTGCTCTTGCAATTGAGAACTCATTTAGTTTATTGAAAACATCATATGATATTTGATCAGTTTTCACAAGGCTCAAGAAATCTATATAATCTGTCAGTTGTACGAGACCTTATTATCCTAACGCTTGAATTTCTAAAACTTTTCGTTACTGTACATGACAGTTTTTCATAAGATTTTGTTAACTATATCATTCGATTTTAATATAATCGATAAGAATAGAAATGTATATAAGAATTAAAATGAAACCGATGAATAATATTTTTATTTCACCACAATTCTTCAATTTACTATTCTTTAAACTATATTTGGGTTATTTTTTAGCAAAAGATACATTCTTTATTTAAATAATAGAAGATTTTTGCAGAGTTGTTGTATTAAAGCTGTTATTCAGTGTAAATATGTAACTGGCGCATTGACAATTTTCACGTAGGGTGGATCAAATGAGCCGCCTTGTTTTGGTACAATGTGTAAGCACGGTTCATTACAGCCATATAATGTATGATGCTGAGTGGAATCGAGTTTTTTTAATGTATGGGATTTTGTTGGTTTTGGAATATCAGAATAAAATGCATGACCACCACTGCTACTATGTGAACAATCATAGGATGGCTGATGATGATGATAACTGCTATTACCATTGTGCTGAACATGAAATTTTTCACCGTAACTAGCTGAATTATTATTTTGATTATAAGAATAAGTTGTTGTACCACCTCTTAACATTTGATAAACTTCGCGATCAGGATCTTTGCCAGTTGATTGTGTGTACCATTTTTTTGCTTCTGTTTCCGATTTTGGACGATAAACATAATCTTGTTGGCTTTGGTAAGTTGATTGTCTTTGATTACTATGGCTTCGTGAATGACTACTACCTCGAGAACCTTCAAAATTCTGACTACTCGATGGACGACTTTGAGATGAATCAAAATCTTGTTGTTTTTCTAATGTGTGCTCACGATAAGCAGGCAAATGAGAGTCACGCCACGGATAATCGTTTAAGTTACTCGAGCGCCATGGTTCTCGCGGACCAGCACTTCGTGGACGAGAAAGAGATCGGGAGCGAGATCGAGATCTTGAACGTTGTTGCTGTCGTTGATGATTAGTTTCTGATGAATACTGTTGTTCATTTTGTGACTGTCGGTAATGGACATATTGTTGTTGTTGTGGAGGTTTGTAGTGATCGATGGTGCCAACAGATTTATCGTGACGCTGTTCATTTGACTGACCTGAGCAAAAAATGAGAAGAATAAATCATCACCAAATTCTACTTTAAAAAGGAGAATTTTTGTAGAGAAAATGCAGATTCTGTTTTTAAAATTTTTACCTAATTCTCTTCTAATGCGTTGTATTTTTTCATCGATGGTTTCGGTGTCATGTTTAGTTCGTCTATCTACATGTAATTCCTCTTGATCTTGTTCATATTCATCACGACGTGACATTCGATGATGTTGTGGAGGAGATTTGGATCGTGAACGAGAACGGTGAGGTTGATAATAGTCGCCACCTTTTATCCATGGACAACAAATTTCACAATAACCAGGACAGGTGGGAGTTGAACAATGTTGAACATGATGAAAAACATGTTGAACGTTTTGAGATTGAGGCAATGCTTAAAAGAAGAAAAAGGCAGTATAATAAGAAGACTATGGATTTTATTATTTGGCAGTAGGCGCTCTGTTTATTGAATGTCTGAAAAAATCCAGAGTGAGACTTCATTGTGCTTTTTATAAATTCATCGATTGAACTTTTTCAAGATATCACTAGAAAAGGTGAGTTTAGCCCTTTGTTTCATTTCTGCGTCGGAAGAGGATACAAAGATCTCAAGATTCCTGTTGACACTTGATGTCACAACAAATCCATGTTATGCTTTCAAAGATAACTACAGGAAAATGAATATGAGTCATCATCCCGTTCTTATTTCTATCTATATAAATACAGACTCGTTATGTTGGCTACAAAAGATTTTACAAGGAGTAATGCGCATATAAAGCATCAATCAAATAGAGAAATGACTGCCGATTGTCTCCCTAAGTTGATGTTTGTTAACTCAAGTATCTTGTACCTTGCTCCTGAGTGTTTTGTTGTTGTTCAATATCTTCTTTTTTGAAACTTGTTTCAACGACTTTTGGTACAAAACCATAACTTGGATAAACATATGGTCCATTGAATACTGGAACTGCTGACACAATGGGTGTAGGTTGAATGACGAAATATCTTTGCTGTTGGTTAGCAACGGCTGCTGCTGGAACATAGAGTGTTGTTGCGGCTGGAATCATTTTGTAATGTCTTTGCTGCTAATCGATTAATGCTCTCTCTAAGATATATGTCTTGCCACAAAAAAAATGCTTATTATATAGGAGTAAAATTCTGTTTTTCATTTCTGTTAAGAAATTTTTTTCCTTCCTTTCACAATATATGTGTGTGTGTTTGTTCTGTTGCCAAGTCACTCATCATCTTCAGTAAACGTGAGAATAAATTTAAACTGAATAAAAAATAGAGTTTTTACTTTTCATTATTTTTTTTTCTGTTCTGTCACATAAAGACTTTAAGTGTGAGTTCGTGTTTGATAAGTAGTTACAAAAACATACACTACTTTCTATTGTCTAATGCCAAAAAATTTGATTTTTACTCACACATGGAAACTAAAATAGAAGACAATATTTAGTATTTGAAGTTTAATCGAAGATGAGAGAGAATATTTCCTGTCTGAGTGAAATAGAAATTTTCTTGTCAAATATGAGACTTTTAAACCAAAATAAAAGACGAAAAGCATTCTTCGTTTCAAAGCTCTGTCCATTGGGTCAAGCGTTTCAAAATTCAAATAAGCGGTGTGTACAGAACATAATTGATTGTTCAATAGTAATCTTTCATGACATTCAAACTACCTGAAGTGTTTTAAAACATTGATTATAAAACACTAAAGAACAGGAAACGCCTCTCCCTGTTGACACTTGGTGGCACAACTAATCCATGTTATGCTTTCAAAGATAACTACAGGAAAATGAATATGGGTCATCATCCCGTTCTTATTTCTTTCTATATAAATACAGACTCGTTATGTTGACTACAAAAGATTTTATAAGGAATAATGTTCAAAATTCAAATGAGTGGTGTGTACAAAACATAATCGATTGTTCAATACTAATCTTTCACGACATTCAAACTACCTGAAGTGTTTTAAAACATTGATTATAAAACACTACAGAACAGGAAACGCCTCTCCCTGTTGACACTTGGTGGCACAACTAATCCATGTTATGCTTTCAAAGATAACTACAGGAAAATGAATATGGGTCAACATCCCGTTCTTATTTCTATCTATATAAATACAGACTCGTTATGTTGACTACAAAAGATTTGGCAAGGAATAATGTGCATATAAAGCATCAATCAAATGGAGAAGTGACTACTGCTGTCTGTTTTGATTGACGTTTGCCCTGTTAATTAGACGCACACGTACAAGGTTAGCATCGCTGGTCGAGAATGATTTCTAAAGGGTTGAATTAGTCTTGGCAATAGTCTGAATTATAGAGTAGTTATAGGTAGAACCGGTGTGCCGTTAGAGCGTTGAATTTTAAGTTCAATTTTTTGTTCGATTGGTACTAATGTTAGCATTTTGGTCTTCCAGCAGAACATATACACTTGATTGTTCAATACTAATCTTTCATGACATTCAAACCACTTGAAGTGTTTTAAAACATTGATTATAAAACACTAAAGAACAGGAAACACCTCTCCCTGTTGACACTTGGTGGCACAACTAATCCATGTTATGCTTTCAAAGATAACTACAGGAAAATGAATATGGGTCAACATCCCGTTCTTATTTCTTTCTATATAAATACAGACTCGTTTTGTTGACTACAAAAGGTTTTACAAGGAATATTGTACATATAAAGCATGTATGGTTAAAACAAATCATGCTTAGATTGTTTTGTTTTAACAAGAGCAGAGAGCGTAGTGATGTCGGATGTTGGATATTAATTGAAACTTGAAAACTTCAGCATATACTTTTAACTCTTTTGATGATTATACAAGAAAAATTCAAAGGCCAGATATCATTGAATGAACTGTAAGAATGGTTTTCTTGTTGAAGTGATATTTAGTTGTGAGCTGTTGATATTATCCAAGGCACTTAACACAGCTTGAAACAGAGTGATTTCACTTGTTGATAATGGTCATACGTTCTTCTCATATCATTTACTTGCTTGTGAAAACTGATCTTGGTTCTGTTTGTTTTAGATATTGGTGCTAATCTGACTGGTATGTGCAATGATTACAACTGCTGCCGACCATATTTACTGTTTTATTGCTTTTGTATTGTTTAGATGCTATGTTTCAAGGTATATATGGAAATTCAAGAAAGCACCAAGGTAAAATAAATATTAAGGACACTTAGCCGATCAAGAGTATTTTCCTGTCTTTCTGGACAAAATATTGTATTTTGAGTTAAACTTAGCTTAATGTAGAGGAAAGTCTGAGCTATAAAATAAAACCACTAACAGCGTTCCACAAGCTTTTTTTTTTGCAAAAGTTGAGTTTTTTAAGTTTTTGCTTAAGAGGCTGAAAACACTATTTTTTAGTCTTGTTAATCTTTCTTTTGTGTCTAATGCCACCTGAATTTTTCCTGATGCTGATAGAGTAAAGTGTTCGCTGCAGAATGAGACCACTTTCGAGTCCAATTGTTTCTCGAAAAGATATGAACATTCCATAAAATGCCGTGCAGAAAGTGATCGGTTTAAATGTTTGTGATAGTTCAAACTATCTCAGGTTCTAAATTTTTTTAAAGCGTTTTTTAATTTCGACTTTCGCTGTAGGATCGTTTTTAAAATCAAAAACCGACTTTTTAGTATTTTTCGAATATTTCGAAAACGGAATCTTTTTTTTGCGAAAAAAACATCTGGAATCTGGTATAGGGTCCAAAGCATCTGCAGTAAAAATTCGGACTCGATTGGACCTTTTCTTCGATCTTTACCAACAAGATGAAAAAAGAATTTTTCAGTCACGGAACTCGCAGTTTTTGAGAATTTTCTAAAAGTTTTTCCTCGATTTTTATGTGTTTTTAAAATTTCAATAAAATTCTCACTTTTTTACTTATAACTTTGGTTTTGATGTCAATCGATAGAGGACATCAGGATGTATCCATAAAAAAAATTTCATTGTTTTCGGTCCAGTTTTGACTGACTTATTCGGCTTTGACCTGCCCTCTGAAATTCTGGAGTGAAAAGTGTTTTTAAAAACACCCTGAACCAAATTTCGCTCGAAGGAAGCATTTTCAAGAAAAAGTGTGGGTATGAAAGTTATTCAGAACCAGATTCTCTGGAATATGAACGAAGGATTTTTCAAAATTCGTTAAATTAGATTTTTAAATTGAAAAGTACGATTTTTGAAATTTTAAAATTTCGTAAGATTTAATTTAAAAATCGAGTTTAACCCTTTGTCCATATTCTAGAGAATCGGATTCTGAATAACTATTATACCCACACTTTTCCTTGAAAATGCTTCCTTCGAGCGAAATTTGGTTCCAAGTGTGTTTACAAATCCATTTTCAGCCGAAAATAAGCAAATTTTCAAGTATCAAGTTTGACTCTCAAACTTTCCCCGTTTGTAGAAGACACTTGGAAGTATATATCGTGAAGTTTTCTTCCTATAGATATTATTTGGCTTAGAAAAAAATTAATTATTTAAAAAAATGTTGTCACATTTTTGACTTACCAGACTTACTGAGTGACCAAAAATCTTTTAAGATAGCGCATCGTTTAGCCTGTGAAATTCTCTATTAGATAAGGTAGTGCTTGAGTTTTTTCGCTCAGTTATTATTTTACAAATAGGACTTTAAGCGAGTACTCTCTAAAAAAAATGATTCTCTACTGAATCTTGAAACGTTTATACTTTTGAAACGAATTCAAAACCTTTAACGGTTGTGTCGAAATGAGGTTTCGTAGCAAATTCGTACTGTTTTTATTCAAAAAAAGGTTAGGTGGCGCGGGTTTGCGAGAATCTTGCATTGTAAACCTATCTAAAAGAAACAAAACAAGGCAAAATCGTTTGTAAGTAAATAGGAAAAATGATTCTAGCAAGGAATCTGTTTACGGCGCTCACTTTTCAAAAGAACATATATCTGTCCTCGTTAAAAAGGTTAAACTCGAAGTTACATAAAAATGTTTGTATTAGTAACAAGTAACATTCATCTGCAATTCACTAACCCTTGACTGAACGTCAAGATAAAGACAAAACTCTTATGCTATGCAGCTGTAATAGGGAGCCAATTGAAATGCCCTTAAATCATGAGAAAGGTCATGCACAAGAAAAATTACAATCGGTTAATTAGATTTCTTTTTTTACCTACCTTTATTGTTATTATAAAGGTAGGTTCAAATAACAAAATACTATGTAAATATCGAAGTTATTCATTTGTAAAGCAAGAAGTTGTTTATCTTTCGAGCCTAAAGCGGAGTCTTAAAACTGTTTCTCAATGATTAAAAAGTTAAAAAATGGTTCATTTTATCTAGTCCATTCGTTAGAAACGTAGGAAAGCTGAGCTCAATTTAGAGACAGGAAATGTAAGAAACGCGCATGCTAAGGGCAATAGGCAACAACAATGTAAGACGCAGGCGATCCGAAAATCGAACAGAACTTTTTTTTCGCCTTTTTTGCTATAGTTGGATAGAGCTCATCAAGTTGCATAAGAAAAAGTCGATTTAGACTTTTAAAACTCACTTTTAGGAGAAAAAAATAAAAAATAGGCAAAGATGAGTGAATTTTTGAGAAATAGGAAAAATTTTCCGATTTAATTTTTTTTCAAATTCTAAAACGCTCTTTTTCAGATTCAGCATACAAAACTCAGTATAAAACACTGACTTTAGCATTTCTGGAATCTAAATTGTCAGCAAAATTCGTGAAACCCGAGCAGAACGGCTGGAATGACCCTGTACATTTTACAAATTTATCAAGTCTCTATAAATATAAATACGAAGATTTTGTTTATTTTATTCTAACCATAAGGCCTATGACAAAATATTACAGAGAGATTTTGAAAAATTTTGCTTCGTTGTTGGGAAAATGAATTTTTTTGGATAGCAGCAGATTTTTCACATAAAAAGGGCTAACCATTTGCCTACATCTCAATAAGCATTAGAGATCTTGCAATAAAATTTTCACGATATGCGTAAAAAGCAATGTAGATTTCAACAGAGTGTAGATCGAGATCTCCCTAACCTTTTTTCAAAAACTAAAGTTTTAGAGTGCGTTCAAGCAGATTTGTTTTTCTACAGTAAGAAGTTAAGCGAAAATCGCTTTTTTTTTTGTCGAGTTCACTATTTTATCAACAGATTAACATATTTTTAACAAAAACTAAACAAGCAAAATGAAAAAAACAGAAACTATTACCATTAATTATTTAAACTTGTACTACTAATTTTTCTATGCGATGAGACATCGGCGTATCGTTCTAGACAGACATATGCTGATGTATTAAAACTCTTCTTCAGTCATTTATATAAAGCTGATGTTTCATCGTATAGAAAAATTAGTAATACAAATTGAAATAATTAACACCCCTTAATGCTGCTCTTTAAGGAAGAAATTTTTAATGAAATATTTTTGTGTCAAATATGCCATTCGATGCAGTTTTGTCTGTTAATATTAAATATGTTATTAATTTTGCTGAATCTGAAAAAGAGCGTTTTAGAATTTAAAAAAATATTAAACCTGAAAATTTTCCTTATTTCTCAAAAATTTTACTCATCTTTGCCTATTTTTTATTTTTTTCTTCCAAAAGTTAGTTTTAAAAATCTAAAATCGTCGTTTTCCTATGAAACTTGTTGAGCTCTATCCAACCATAACAAAAAAACGTGATAAAAAAGTTCTGCTCGAAGTTTTCGCATTACCGACACCTTACGTGAACATGATCCACGAAACCTTTAAGATATCGTAGGAAATCGTTCTTTTTAGAATGTAGAGTAGAATAAATTAACGTTAATTAGCATTCATTAGTAAACAACAGAAAAGAAAGAAAAAATAGAGAGAGAGATTTTTTTATGTACTCAAGAACCATCTCTCTTTCAATCTACGCAAAAACCAAGTTTTCATTATGACTGGAGAACGAGTAAGAACTTTTTTAAAAATTAACCTTAAACTGAAAAATTCAAACAAAATTTTCCAAGTAATTCATTTTTTTTCTCAGTCAGATAATGCGGGTAAGTCGAGAAAATATCAAGGCGTATATTTCGAAGTATCCTTTACAAATTGGGAAGGTATGAAGAAAGTCGAAGTGGTGGAAACCCTCTTAAGTGGAATTGATTATAAGTATCGATATAAAATTCTTAGTCATGTATATTTTTCTTTTCTTCCAGCTGATTTGGATCAAGTTATTCAGCGCTCATTTCAAAATGGGCTTGATAAAGTACGTGTACGTCATGTCATACAGAATGTAAACAATAAAATATTTTTTCTTTACAGATTATAGCTACATCAGGTACATACGCCGAAACATTGCAATCACTCGAGTTATGTTCAAAATATGGTAAATATTTACATGTAATTTTTGTGTGACTTTAATTCTAAATCCTTTTTTCGTTAGATAATTTGTATACGACATGTGGTTATCATCCAACACGTTGTCAAGAGTTTGCTCAAAATGATGAAAATGTCCTAATTGAAAAAATGGTTGATTTATTAAAAAATGATAAAGTCATTGCCATTGGTGAATTGGGTTTAGATTATGAACGACAACAATTTTGTTCAATTGATATACAAAAACGGTATTTAGTGGCATCACTTGATAAATATGAAAAATTGTATTCTGTTTTCTTCAAGTTATTTTGAATTTCAGTTAAAAAATTTAACATCAAACTCAATGAATCGTAAACCATTATTTTTACATAATCGTTCATCGACTCAAGATTTATATGAAATATTGAATCGTTATCGAGAAAATATCGTTGGCGGAGTGGTAAGTATAAAAATGAGAGAAATAAGATTGAATCATCAAAAAAAGGAAGAATATCCTGCCTTACGGCTACCGTTATCGGTGTAGGATGCTTCACAGTATCGGTTTCAACAGTTCAATATCTTCCTGCAGCTGACAAGCTTCTGACATGGTCACTCAGTCATAGTGTGCATCTAGACGGACATTAGGCAAAATCGGGAAGTAACCGATTCAAACACATAGAAATATACTTTGATATGTGGACTATCCATTGCCATAAAAAGTTTGGTTTCAACGACTAAGCATTATTGGGAAACATGTAGCAGAAGGTTAGAAGGTCTCGAAATACAAATCATAAGGATAAAAAAATTGTTTTTCTACATCCAATAAAGATATGATTAAAAATGGCGCTGATTCTGAATCAAAACTCTTTGACATATGTAATAGCGAAAGAATTTTGGTTTTTAACCGTAGACTAGAAGGGAAATCATAGAGTTTGCCAAAAAACCTAGATTTCCATACAGACATATTTCGTAGAATAGGTTTCCCCCGTTTTCCGTATCCAAAAATTCTCAAATGTTTTTCTATCCACACTGCATCGATACTACATGCGCAAAAATGCGCAATTGTTTCTATGCCAAGATACAAATTTTCTAAAAATCCTTGGTTTTTCATGTAAAATCGAATTTTTTTCAGCCTAGTAACGTTTGTGACAAAAACTAATGGCATATTCGGAATCAGTTCGTCAAACTGGATCGAACCATGTATAACACGATAGGTTTTGGATCGAAAAAATATCTACCGAAATTTTCTCTTGAACCTAGAAAAATGATTTTTTCTGAAAACGTTCATTTTTTCTTTAAAAGCATCGCAGATGACTAAAGAATGATAAATTATTTATGGAAAAAACGATGTCCGCTTGCTATTAGAAAAATGCACATTGTGGCAGCTCTGACTAGGTGGAACTAGTTTTGATACAGAATTCTTTCATCCAGTTGTTTGAACTTTCCATACATGCTCACTAATCACGTATTAGCATGAAGACTAGGTGAGGAAATTGTATTGTACGTTACAACACAGTACGCACGCTATCGGACGTATGATCCAAGGCACCAAGACATAAGTAACCTGTCCAAGGTTAATAAATAACTTGTCTGTGACGACATGCGCACACACTAAATTTGAAGTATCCCCTTCTCAGAATAGAAAGTCATGAACTTTTATTATAATTTGACATATCGAACATTTTTTTTGATAAAATCAATCTATCTCTTAGAGTGATTTTAAACAAACTTCGCTTCAAACTAACTTTATACGATGAACAACATAAGCACCAAGTCAGACCTTAATTGATCTGTTTTAGATTCATTCGTTTGATGGTACATACGATGAGGCAAAGTTGTTTTTAGATCTGGGCTATTATATTGGTATAAATGGCTGTTCAATGAAATCACAAGAAAATTTAGATGTTATTAAACAAATACCGCAAGATAGAATATTAATTGAAACTGGTATGTGTCTGTGAACATTTTACCTATTCCAGACAGACTGTTTTTTCGGTTTTCATTAATTATGTACTGATAGAATACGTAAAAGAGAAGTAAACTAGAATTTTCTCAGAATTTTTGTTTAGATAAAATTTATCATTTATTGAGAAGTTGATTCTTAATCGTATGTCAATAATGAGAACTTTTTTTTACTTTAACTAACTTTAGATTCCCCGTGGTGTGGTATTAAACAATCTCATGCATCTTATCGTTACGTAAAAACACATTATGACAGTGTTAAAAAGGAAAAATGGCAAGAAAATAAGATGATTAAAGATCGAAATGAACCAACTTGTATTGTACAAATATGTGAAGTAATTGCAGCTATTCATGAAGAAAATTTTGATGATTTATGCGATCAAATTTATCAGAATACAGTAAAATTATTTTTTTAATATTAATAGATGTCTTTGGTTGTTAAAAAATAAATAATTTGATCTTTACAAATGTCTTTCATTTTAGTTGATGTTTTACTCCTTACGGAAGAGAGAGATACCATCGACTGAGTTTTTGTATTGTGTTTCAGATCTTTTTAAAGAGGATTGAATAACTACATCGGTACAAATGGCTGAACGTGGTGGAACTCGAGGCGGATTTGGAACACGTGGCGGTGGTAAGTGATTAGTTGTCGTCTGTTAAATTAATCAATACTATGTTTATGGTTTGTTAGGACGTGGTGGCGGTGAAGGCGGCCGTGGTAGAGGAGAAGGAGGTGAGTATTATTTAAAACAGCGATTGTAGTACCTAGTCTAAGTTATAACAATCCGAAAAATCTCTTTTCTCACATACGAAAGAAAGTTGAACATCTCTTACTTTGGTTTGTAAATGATTGATGTTTTTAGGTCGAGGTGGCTTTCGGGAAGGTGGCGAAGGTGGACGAGGCCGAGGCAGAGGCGAAGGGGGTCGAGGTGGTCGCGGCGGTGAAGGAGGTATGAAAAGATAATTTTTTCACATTTCTCTGTCCAATTTACCATAATCTTCCTCCGAAGTTTCTAGAAATGATGTTTGTTGAAGAGCCCAATCATCTCTTTTTTACGAATACGGGCTCGACACAAAATCAAGAAAAAATGATGTCATCGACATTACCTTCATCGATGTTTTCTTTCTGTCCAAACGATATGCAACAATAAAGCTTGTGATTTTCTTTCCGCGGAAGACAAAGCCGAAATAATAGAATTTTTTATAGATTTGAGACAACAAAAGAACTTCTCTTCCAAGCTCTAAATCTATTTTAGTTCCCACTTTTGTTAATAACAAGTAATAATTTCTGCTGTTGTTTTAGGTCGTGGACGCGGTGGCCGTGGACGACGTGGTAAGAAAAGCAGTAGTAGTAGTTTTCAACAAACATTTTTTATTCTTGATTCTTTTGTATTTAGGTCAACGTCCAAAAGAGGATCAAAAAACGTGGACTCCCGTAACAAAACTAGGCCGATTGGTTAATGATGGAAAAATACGAAGTTTAGAAGAAATATATTTATTCTCACTACCAATTAAAGTAAGTTCAATTTTTTGTTCAATTGGTACTAATGTTAGCATTTTGGTCTTCCAGCAGAACATATACACTTGATTGTTCAATACTAATCTTTCATGATATTCAAACTACCTGAAGTGTTTTAAACCATTGATTATAAAACACTAAAGAACAGGAAACGCCTCTCCCTGTTGACACTTGGTGGCACAACACATCCATGTTATGCTTTCAAAGATAACTACAGGAAAATGAATATGAGTCATCATCCCGTTCTTATTTCTATCTATATAAATACAGACTCGTTATGTTGACTACAAAAGATTTGGCAAGGAATAATGTGCATATAAAGCATCAATCAAATGGAGAAGTGACTACTGCTGTCTGTTTTGATTGACGTTTGCCCTGTTAATTAGACGCACACGTACAAGGTTAGCATCGCTGGTCGAGAATGATTTCTAAAGGGTTGAATTAGTCTTGGCAATAGTCTGAATTATAGAGTAGTTATAGGTAGAACCGGTGTGCCGTTAGAGCGTTCAATTTTAAGTTCAATTTTTTGTTCGGTTGGTACTAATGTTAGCATTTTGGTCTTCCAGCAGAACATATACACTTGATTGTTCAATACTAATCTTTCATGACATTCAAACTACTTGAAGTGTTTTAAAACATTGATTATATAATCAATGTTTTAAAACACTACAGAACAGGAAACGCCTCTCCTTGTTGACACTTGGTGGCACAACAAATCCATGTTATACTTTCAAAGATAACTACTGGAAAATGAATATGAGTCACCATCCCGTTCTTATTTCTATCTATATAAATACAGACTCGTTATGTTGACTACAAAAGATTTTATAAGGAATAATGTTCAAAATTCAAATGAGTGGTGTGTACAGAATATAATCGATTCTTCAATATTAACCTTTCATGATATTCAAACTACCTAAAGTGTTTTAAAACATTGATTATAAAACACTAAAGAACAGGAAACGCCTCTCCCTGTTGACACTTGGTGGCACAACACATCCATGTTATGCTTTCAAAGATAACTACAGGAAAATGAATATGAGTCATCATCCCGTTCTTATTTCTATCTATATAAATACAGACTCGTTATGTTGACTACAAAATTCTCGATTCTCTATCCAAACTTCGCCAGTGTGCTTCTACTTAAGTAGGTCGAATATAAACCTGAGCAGGCTATCGGAATCAGTCAGGCAGTGGAAATAAAAAGACTTAACAGAGATCAGTTCTGCCATTTTTCTGACATCAAATCTCTTACTATTCTTTTAGATTTTGAAAAATACTCATTGATTGATATAATTTTTTAGGAGGCTGATATCATTGATCTTTTATTGCCTGAGTTAAAAGATGAAGTATTAAAAATCATGCCCGTACAAAAACAAACCTGTGCTGGTCAACGTACACGTTTCAAAGTAATT